CCCGGGGGGGTTTTTGGGGGGTCCGGGGGGGCTCAGGGGGGTCCCCGCGTCCCTCCGGTCCCACCCTCGGGAGGGGATTTGTGTTTCCCAGCGGCCAAAACGCGACTTTTTGGCAGCTCTGGGTGAACTCGGCAGGTTGGTGGCTCCCGAGGAGTTTTTTGGGGGTAATTCGGGGGATTTTCGCCCCCCTCCCGATAAAGGGTTGAGACGTTGCCTTAAAAACACCTTTTCTTTCTTTTTTTTTTTTTAAATCCTTCTTTTTTGTTTTTTTTCCCCCCTCCCCATTTCTGCTCGTTTTCCAGACTGGATTTTCCAGTTTAAAGGCACAGAGAACAGGAAATGGTTAATTAAGGGAGGACAGAATCAGATGGGGTTGGTGGGATCTAAAGCAAACAACCTCCCCCTCCCTCCCCTCCTCAAACCTGACATTAATTTTTTTTTTTTCCCCCTTTAAAAATGTGGGAAAACAAGTCAGGAGCAAATGTTGCACTTCCCAGTTAATTTCTATTTAAAAAAAAGCAAACAACAAAAAAAAGTTGGGTTTTTTGTTTGTTTGTTTGTTTTTTTCTTTCTGGTTGAAGGTGTAAAGGGGGATGTGGAGAAAACCTAATTTGGGTGGGTTTAATTAATCACTGTGTTTAGGAATTAAGTTTTCTAAGGAAATCTTTCCTTTGCCCTCTTTAAAAAAATCTCTCCTGTCCCTAAACCCAGCGTAGAAAAAATAATTAAAAAAAATACTGAACGGGTTAAAATGGCACAAAAAAAAAACCAACGTGTGGCTGCAAAAAGAATAAATTGATTTAGTGGCGTTTAATTACAGTAATTCTTCAAATCACACTCAAAGCTGCAGATTATGTTCATGACAAGGGGGGACCATTTTAGCAAAATACTGTAGAAGTAAAAAAAGATATTGATAAATGCTGAGAAATGTGTGACTTGAGGAACAAGCCCGAGTTTTAGGGTTAGTTTGTATCCGTTTGGGACACGCTGTTGCTGCTGGGGAGCTGTTTGTGCTCTGGTTTTGTTGTCAGAAAAACTGGGAGGAACTTTTTTTTTTGAGTTGGAAACCAAAAAGCTTCGAAATCGTTTTGTTTTATCCTTTGAAAGGTTAAAAAAAACCCCAAAAAACCAAAAAAAATCCCAAAACAACAAAATAAAATAAAAAAAAAATTTTGAAGGGAAAAAGATGATTTGTAGGGGTTTTTTGGGGTTTTTTTTTGAAGTGTTGGTTTTGGGGGAGGGGGTTGGAACTGGGAGGCTGAAAAGCCCCGAATTGGAGGGGGTCAAAGGAATGAATGAAGGAGGGGAAGGGGGAGGAAGGAGGGGGGGAAAAGAGTGAATCCATCAAGCAGACATTCCAAATATGAGGAATGTGGAAGTGAGTCGAGCAGGGAGAATGAAACCAGAATGAAACCCGGGGATTTGGGGAGGGGAAAAAAAGAAAAAACAACAAAAAAAAAGAATTTGGGCTG